GGAGGAAAGGCCTGGGGTGTGGCCCAGCCTAACCAACGATTGGAGGAAAGGCCTGGGTATGGCCCAGCCTAACCAACGATTGGAGGAAAGGCCTGGGGTGTGGCCCAGCCTAACCAACGATTGGAGGAAAGGCCTGGGTATGGCCCAGCCTAACCAACGATTGGAGGAAAGGCCTGGGGTGTGGCCCAGCCTAACGAACGATTGAAGGAAATATCAGAAGGCGTGGCTTACTGGATCTGCTCCTGTGACATGGAGCTATAGTGCAGGTTGAGATTCACAATGTTGTCTTCCTGCAGCTCGTCCAGCGAAGCCCAGCTCCCTGACGTCTGCTGCAGCTCTGGGTCCAACTCGTGTACCAGCTGCCTCTCCTCTGACGGCAGCCAGAGCACCTGAGTCCATGCACATAACCCACATCACCTCCTACAGCCGTATCCACCTAATCATCAATCTCAAATCCAGCAGGCAAAGCCAAACCGATTTAGTCTGTATGTACCTGGCTGGAGTGGATGTAGGACTCATTAAGGACGACCTCCAGGGTACGGTTGATCCAGGTATCGTGATATGGGTGGCCCTTGGGTGGCCGCTGCAAGTCGAAGATGACTAGAGTCCCATGGTCTGCAGCCAAGTCCAGGAAGTCCCTCAGTGTGGGAATTGACTGGTTACGGGCGCAAGCCTGGTCATCCAGGTCCAGAGAAGATGCAGTCCCAAAGGGGTCACGCTGAGAAGCGGGACAAGAAGGTCAGTCCTCTATTGCACTTGGCCTCTACATCACACTTTCCCTCAGGCAGGATCCTCGGGGGACAGAGACTGACCGAGAGGAACCACGATCCTCAGGGGACAGAGACTGACCGAGAGGAACCACGATCCTCGGGGAACAGAGACTGACCGAGAGGAACCACGATCCTCGGGGGACAGAGACTGAACTAGAGGAACCACGATCCTCGGGGGACAGAGACTGACCGAGAGGAACCACGATCCTCGGGGGACAGAGACTGACCGAGAGGAACCACGATCCTCGGGGGACAGACACTGACCGAGAGGAACCACGATCCGGCATTGAGCTGCTGCACTTCACTCCAGGTGAACATGGAGGCCAAGGATGACGTGCGGTTGGGGAACACCTCCTGGATGTTAGTGGTCCTCCTCAGCGTGGTGTCATGCATGAGGAAGGGCACACCGTCGTAGCTGAGACGAGAGGAAGACACCCATGCGCTGAGTGACACGCCCAGGGGATTCCCCTGGCCAAAGGGCACTGAGCCCCTAAAGACGGACAATCTTCTCAGGCTTCAGTATCACCTGATTACGACGTCGGTCTCCAGGCCTTCTCCTCCAGCCTCCACAGCCTTTTGGAAGGACATCTGTGTGTTCTCTGGTGCAAGCTGTTTTCAGGAAAAGAGATCGGCTCAGAGATTCCCCCCCCTCACACCTGCTCTCACTACAGCTGACGAAACATCCAACTAGATTTACAGACGAGCAGGAACACGAGTCATCGCTCATTCCTGTACAACCTACAAAGTGAAAGCTGACTTCTGCAGATTTAACAATGCTGGCATATTAACATACCAACACCCCCCCACCCCACTTACCATGGGGGCTCCCCTGTGTCCAATCAGGGCAGGTGGGGGTCTGAGGGTGCCCTGTTCCTTAATGCAGGGCGAGTACATGCCCAGGGGCACCAGGTAGAGGGCAAAGAGGATCGCCAGGTACAGGGCCAGAATCATCGCTTGCCGTACTGGATGGGAGCACAAAAAGCGGGTGAAGGATTGACTACGACCCCTAGAACGGTGTCCGGGGAATGCTGCACTATCTAGCGTGTCCTGCGGGGGGCAGAATGTCCCAGGCACAGTAGCTACACACTACTGGGGGGAGGGGGGGTCAGGCTTAAGATAAACACAGGAGAACCCAGGATGTTTGAGAAACTGCTACTCAATTAAAAGAAAAACAAGTCAGGAGACTGTGGATCCTCCTGGTGTGCGGGAATCGGGATCCCTCTGCTTTGCACGACTTCACACACATGCCAAGTTGGGGGGTCGAGCTGTCAGGAGGGGGGGGGGGGGGGTTCTGGTGTCCTCCGGAGACTGTCACCGCCGGCCACCAGCCTAGCTCCTTGTCCTTTCACAATGTCACTGTCACTCGTGGAGTCTCACGCGGAACTTCATACATGCATGTTTGCTCCCGGTTACTTCATCTGGACCTGAGACCCCCAAGCCCCCCACCCCCAAGGCTGCCTAAATAACACTCTCAAACTGGTGCCACACTCGGATCTCACCTCTTTTGTTCATGCGGAAGAAGTGAAAGGCTACTGGCCAGGACAGGAGCGTCATCAGGGTGACTCCACCCATGTGGAGGTACGGAGCAGTGACCTGGCAACCCAAGGGAGATGTCTCACTGTGTTACATACCTGTTTTTTCCCCCAATCTTTTTTATTCATTTAACAAACATGTTTATACAAAACATTAAGCAAATTTTTGAGAAAACAGGTCAGACAGTCCCAGGTGTTACTGCCGATTAAGGAGCTTCCTCAGGAGCCCAGCAGTGAAATCACTCTGCTGGCCCTGGGATTTGAACTGGCAACCTTCTGATCACAGGGACAGCGTCCTAATCTGCAAGGCCACACCTCCCGCCTCCGCATGAGTATAATAAAATACTTTTACAGGAATAATAAAAATCACGTTACTTTTAGTATTTTTGAAAGTCTTAAGTTCGTCCAGTTTTACTGCTATAGTCCAGATCAAAGTTCTGTGTCACAGGACTTCCACGCAAGTTCGATAATTGCTGTACTCTGTACTTGTGGAAAAATCACCCGCCCAAAATGGCGGCTGCGTGGGCGGACAGGCGACCTGCCTGGAGAGAGAGGAGAAGCGTCGTCCATTCCTGGCGCCAGAGGTCCGACAGCACGACGGTGGCGCTGATGGAGATGGAGAGCGTCAGCAGGATGCCGAGCTGCCAATCAGGAACGGGCGTTAGTCACAGGGGGCGGGGCCAAAGTAATAATAATCAGTACTGGGGTTGACCTAGGGTTTTAGGAGAGTGTGAAGAGAGAAGTGAGGAGGGGAGGGAGCACAGGAAGAGCAGCTGAGGAAGCAGTTACCTTATGGCCCCAGTGGAGGTGCAGCCTCTGCCCCTTGGTGAGCAAGCAAACTGCCAGCACCTGTGGGAACACACACATACAAATGTGGACGCCCTCTGGATATACAACCGGAGGGAAAGCGAGGCCCAAAGGGGAATGCGAGGCAGCTTCAGACACCATCAGAGGCTTGTCCTCACCAGCAGGGTGGCGATGTACGCAAAGAGCACAGCTGCTATGGCAAGCACGACCAGTGACCAGGGGAACCAGAAGCCCAGTGCCCCAAAAGTGAGCCTGCAGAACAGAGGAGGAGAGATTTTAAAATGATATAGTGCAGTTGTGACCCGTTCACTTATGGCCACGCCTACCAGTCAAAGTCATTGTAGTCATTCTTAGCCTCGCTCCAGAAATACAGCAGCACCAGGGTCATGCAAAACGTCACCAGGATGAGTCCGACGCTGCCACACTCCAGCTGCAGGGGACATGCACAGCGTTAAGGTAAATGTATGCAAACCCTCTCCCGCATTTGCACAATGCGATCTGCACAGAGATTTCCCAGTGCTTTGTTTTAAAGAAATCGATGCTCAAAACAGCAACTGCTATTAACTATTAGCTGTTGAAAATGCATGTTTGAAAATGCACCCCCCTGTCCCCCCGGAGGTGTACCCCAGTCTCCCCCCGGCCCCCACCTTGCTGCAGCAGCACTCTCCAGGCTGGGCCCGGGCCCGCTGGTACCGTTTCCACTGGCAGCCATAGAGGCCAGCCAGACAGGAGACGCAGGGCTGATGTTGGTAGTGCTGCAGTAGCTGGCGCCGAACCACCTTCAGCTTGCCCAGCTTCAGCGTGGACAGGGAGGAGGGCGAGCGGCCCATGGGTCAGCGCCGGCCGCACATGGCCATGAGCAGGGGCGAGGCGGGGGGGCGTGCAGCTGGAGGCAGAAGGGGGTGTGTTTATCCAAAGTGCCGAGCGTGATGCTCTCTGTTGATCACCCACAGAGGACAGTCACGATTCGAACCCGCAACCTGAAGGTACAGGGCAACAGTGCCACCCACTGAGTCACTGTGCCAGCCTGCATTATTTTTTTTTATTCCTTAACCTATTACAATGGGATTAGTTCGTATGCACTTGCATATCACCAACATTATCATACAAAAGATCATTTCCTTGTTATTCATACGTCATACACCGACACCTGACTAAAAACCGCAGACACAGAGCTCTATTCTTCTGAAACTTATTCTGTGAAACTGAAACCAAGAGCAACATAAAGTTACGCGCCACTCAACTATCCCCCCACCCCCACCGCACATCCCTGACAGAACAAGGTCTGGCCATTAATCACAGAGCACTCCCTTCAGGCACTTCCCAAGGACACCCCTGGGAATAATGCTCAGGATATCTATCAATGCCCCCCAAACATAAACATACATGATACACGCGTGTCCTTTTACACATTTCCTTTTTTTTTTTTATTACGATGCAAACAGGAACATCAAACATCCAATAATACAACTATGGGAACAGGGCAAAGATCAGACAGCTTGGGGACAATAGGGGAAAAAATGAAATATTAACAATATTATTATTATTATTACTATTAATAATACAAAAATAATACTATTGTTATTATTAATATTATTAAGAATTATTATAATACATAAATTAAATTAAATGCTTTGTTTATTTTTTATCTCCTTTTTTCCTCTTTAAGTTGTATATGCGGGATAGAAAACGCTGATCTGGTGTTATGCCCTAATAGAAGCGGGACATGCAGGTTGGAGGGGGTGAGGTCAGCAGGTGGGAAAACGGCCACCGGAGGGCCCCCACCCCAGAGCAGCTTGGAGACCCATCCCCAGTGCACTGGATGACCCAACCCACACACAGTGCACTGGATGACCCAACCCACACACAGTGCACTGGATGACCCAACCCACACACAGTGCACTGGATGACCCAACCCACACACAGTGCACTGGATGACCCAACCCACACACAGTGCACTGGATGACCCAACCCACACACAGTGCAAAAGGGAGGGGAGGCGGTGCAACAAAGTAGAATATTTTGGAAAAGAATTAAATTAAAAGCAGCCTAGTTGCCTGGCCCCTAGGGCCGTCAGGGACATTAAATAATAGTTTATTATGGGTAAGAGATATTTCAGTAATTTCATAACAGAGGTTTGAAACCTAAGAGCTCTATGGTCGTCTGAGCTAACTTATGGAAATAGCTGGATTAATACCCAGGTGACACCAGGACCGAGGACTCTCCGCCTGGGGGGGGCGGGCCTTCAGTTTGAGCTAAACCACTCAGGGGGGTAATAGGCTGAGAGCGGGGGGTGTGCTGTCACTCTGCGGCGACCTGTCACCAAGCTGAGAGCGGGGGGTGTGCTGTCACTCTGCGGCGACCTGTCACCGAGCTGAGAGCGGGGGGTGTGCTGTCACTCTGCGGCGACCTGTCACCGAGGCACAGGTACGCATTTGCGGGGGTCAGGAAATAAAGACACTAGCTGGAAGGAACCGGTCTGGTCACGAGCAGGACTGAGGCATCCTGGTAACAGCATCTCATCTGCAGCGTCACACATTAGGCGCGATTAAGCGAAGCCAGTGGAGGCTCCAAAGACTGCTGTGTGACCCTCAGCGTCAAACCCTGATGAACACTGACCCCAGGTGACCCCTGTGACCACAGATTAATGGTGGACAGAATCAGCCTTTAAATATGTCCTGGGGGGGGGGTAATCACCCATGGAGGAGTATAAATGAGGTGTGAGATGTAGACACAATCTACAGACATCAAGATATAGATTCATTAGAAACCTATACATACGATGGCATAATCTGCCCCTGCCCCCCCCCCCCCCCAAAATAGGAAGCTCAGCTGCATTAATATGACCCAACAGACTCCCCCCCCCCGATTCACCTTGACCAGGGTGTCCCTGACTGGCTTTCCAGAATGTTCTCTGATTAGCTGTCACTGATTAGCTGTGATTTTTCACGGACGCCCAGGAAAAGGGACTTGAAAGGAGAGTCTGCAGTGTCATTAAGATCGGGCTCCTGGCAAAGTTAGGGAACGGCTCAGGAATGACAATTTTAAAGAGAAAAACACATTTTGGCAGCGAGCTGTTTTAACCAGCCCTTAGGCTTACAGAACTTTCCGGTCCGGTTGCTGTGAACCAGGATCAGTTTCAGTAAGACTGGTACCATCTGAAAATTTCTATTAAAAAAAGGGAGTTGACACAACTGTCATTGTCCTCCCCCCCCCCTCCTCGCCCCATCTCTGCTCCCCGGAAGTGTGCCAAGGACTCTGCTTCCACGTCACGGGCAGATTATTTTAGCTGAAGGACCCACACAAAGCCAATCCCATCAAACCCAGACAAGGTAAAGTACTCAATCTTCCTCAGGGATGCAGAAGGACTTGGTGCAAGCAGACAGAATTACAATAGAATTATATAATCACCACCATTCCAGTCAGAGTGGTGAATTTAAAGCAGAGGGAAGCCCAGTAATATGTTGGCATAAAGGTTAGGCTTAGGACCTACAACGTCCTTAAGCACGTGGTCCTTAACAGGGTCAGATTAATTTATCTGGGGGCGCTGGGCTGACATCAGCACAGACAGCATTAAATATTATGTTTTCATCTTGCCGTGGTCTTTAGCACATGGACCACAATGCAGCAAATCAGCTGTTTGTACCAAGATTGTGATCATTTCTGCGTATGTGACATTCTCACAGTAACAGGGTCAATAACCCATAACAAGCTTACGTGGCAGTCATAAATAGCGAGAGAGCAGGCAGATTTCAAGCAGGAATCTCTTCTACTACGCTGATTAGGGGCAAACACTCTCTACCCTGACCTTACAAATGAATTTGTGCCCATTACGTCCTGGAGATAGTTGATAACTGCAATAACACAGACATCAGTTTAAAAGCGGGGGATCAACACACTATGAGAAGACAATGGATCTCTGTGTCTTTCGCCTACTGTTGTCCGTTCGTTTGTGCGCATCATGCCATAGCTGCGAATGAATGACAGACTGAAAGAAGCGCCGGGCGATCCTATCCCAAAGGCGGCCGGCACCACGCAGCATAAACCCAGTACATTCATCAGATTGCCTTCCGGCACTGCAGGCTGCAGCCACAAAGCCAAAGTTTGCTTTTAATGTTTCTCTAAGATCGTGCGATTTATTTCACGAAAATACAACAGACCATTTAAATGATAAATCGCATAATGCAATACCATACACGAATTTCCGAGCCTTCACACATTTTTGTGAGATCAAAACTACATCTGTCCGCCCGAAGACAGTCTTTCGTTCATGCAATCGCGAATTACTTAACTTTACATCCCTGGGATTTACAGCACACCGCTATACATCATTAGCACCATTACACAACATTCGCCACTTTTTAAAAAACGATTTCATTTATAAACCTCGGCACGGTACTTTATCAAACCCACCGGACTGCGGGGATCAAGCCGACGTGTTTCTGTTTAAATCCAGCAGCCCCCGAAAACGGCACGCCGATGTCCCCCGCAGAATTACTTATAATTTAGATAAAAACAACAAACAAGGCGGCAGATAACGTGGGAAGCACTTTCAGCATGTGCGATTTCATCGGCCTGAAGTATCTAATCCCTCACCATGCTGTTTCAGTACATTTCGTCCTGCGTCAACATGCGAAAAATGCAAAGTGGCTGAAGCGCGGCGGGGGGGGCGCGCCGGTAACGGAGGACGCGGACTTACAGAGCCGAAGCGCCGAGCGCGGTGCCTCCGTCCGCAGAGCGCCTCCGTAAAGCCGCAGCGCTGCGTAGTCACTGCGCTTCTGCTCGCAGGTGCCGTCCCACCTGTCCGACATACGCCGCCGCTCACTCCCGTACCCTCCTCCTTCTACCTATTTTTCTCCCTCCCTCTTTCCCCTCCCACTCCTCTTTTTCCTTCCTTGCTGTCCGCCCTTCAGTCCCGTCTTGGGCACCGCCGGGGAGTGCTCTAACAAATCAGATTTATGTGACTCTGTGGCCGGAGCTTGTGACCTGGAAACAGGAACATGATCACCAAACGACAATATATGTGTCTGTCCGTATAACCCCCGGGCTGGCGTTGGCCGTCTGAATGGTCATTGTTCGCTTGGACACGGCCTCCGATGATTAAGTCATAAATTGCTGCCTACAATGGGGTGTATGGTGCTCTGCTGAAAAGTGGGACACCGTAAATATGTTGGGCGCAGCATAAGATGTCAGCTGACATTTATTAATTCCCAAGACTGAGCTCAGGAACGCTTTCACGAAATGAATGCATTCTTTAATACAGCACCAGATCCAAGCGTAAAATGATCCTTCTGAATAAAATCATTAAACTTGATTTTTTTTTTCTCTAGAATCTTCGTTTCCGTGTGAAATTTTTTCTCAGGCTATATGAAACCATCGGCGATATTAAACGCCCCCAGGTACTAAAACCTCTGTGGGATCAGACCTCCAGACACTTAGATGCATTTTTGAGACACTGTAAAGAAAACCTTTAACCTGTGCGTGTTACTGCCTTAAGTAGCCTATACACATTTTTAAAAAAAACCCTAATATATATGTAATGCTTGAAAGTTACTCTGAAGCATTTGTGAAGTTTCAGAAACCGTGTATGTCCGGGTGTGATGGCACCAAAAACTCAAATAACAAAGCCATGTGAAAATGAATCTCAGGGGTGTAATCAATGCCTGCACTCTCTATACTGTGATTTACTGCACACTGTCCAAATGTACCAGGGTTGACATCCAGCACAGCCACTTTCCTCTGTCTGGGTCATACATCATGACAGTTCACAGAAAATACCCCCGAAAAAAAATCTTACTGTGGATCCTGTTTAGACTCAGCACCCAGCGACCAGCATTCATCATCGGCTTTCTGTCCGGAACATTTCATGCTGTAAAGTGTGACTCTGGATGGGTGATCTTCTCTGCCAGCTGCAGGTGGGAGTGGCGGATCTGTGAGGTCGATGTGTCCCCATGCCAACGCTGGGTCACCGAGCCAATGAAGGGAAAGATTAGAGCGCCACATCACCCCTAAAAGCAGACACGGATTTACTTCCTGTCTGTGGATACAGCTGGGGTGACGAATGACATCCAAAAACGTCAGCAGTGACTGAGGCCAGAGCAAGGACAAAGAAATATTCAATCAAACATGATGAAAGAAAAGAATGTTCTGCTTTAATGATCTGAGGGGATAAAAATGATGACAGAAAAAGAGAAACATCAGTCTCATGAAGCCATCTGAGTGAGGCTTATTTATGAAGCCAAAGTTGCAAGAAATCTGGGTGACAAGAATCTGCAAAGGCGACCAGACAGTGTTAGACAGGGTGGATTAACTTATCTCGGGGCCTTAGCCAGACATCAGCATGGACACTCAGATGGTGCTGGTTTTATTAACTGTTCCGTTTTTCCTGAGGTAGGGGAAGGTCCTGATGTTTGCCAGAACCCTGGGCTATAGCCAAAGATAGCCGATGAGTTAATTTGCCCCTGAGTGCTTGTCTGTGTTCTGACGAAATGTGTCTCTGTCCTTTGTGTGTATGTGTGTCGTTCTTTTACACGCAACACCCACATCTGGCAGGGCATTCTCACCGCAGCAGTTCTGGTCCTGCCACCTTGTTTTCCTGTTTTGGTGAGGATGTGGAGAATGTGGCGGTCAGCTGAGGCAAAGATGTCTGCTTTTCAGCACTAAAGACCCCTCCCCAACAGCAATGAACAGCTTGCTCCCGGAAGGTTTTCCCACAAGCAGAGGACTAAGCATTTAGGTCAAAAACAAGCACAAGGGAAGATGCAGTGCGGAGTCCAGGAGCAGAACCACGATCCAGCAAGAAGCCGCCCCCACAGGGCTGCCAGACACCTTCAGACAGCAGGGCTGCCCCCTCCTGCTGTATCACAGTGTCCCTAACGCTGGACTGCACCTGCATCATTACACTCTGCTGGAATCAGCAGTTTCTCTCCATCACAGCACCTTGAAATGACCGCATCCCCGTGGGTCTGATCTCTCCCAGGGCTGGACATCACAGATGGTCTGGTGCCACTTAGTTATAGGCCTAAGTATTTCCATAGCTAAGAGAGTGAAACCAGAATAAACATTGACCCTAGTCTGATGGCAAGGAGCAGGACCAGTGACCATGCTTAGTGACTTTCTTGTTTTGGCACAATATTTACCAAATGGATGTTTCATGTTAGACACTGGAGACAGATGTAATGAGCACCATTAAACAGACACACGCAAACGCAAACCAGATGGCACCATCAGTCTGTGCAGCTAATTACAGAATAAAGATGTTTTCGCCAGAAATGAGAAAAAAACATTAGACCGCAGTTGTTTCAATGAGCTCATTAGAAAAGAGTTGAATTGAAAATCTCAGCTTGACTTTAAAAAAACAGTGCAGCAGTCTGTATCATAATTTCACCGAATAAGCGTTTACGTAATTACCCCTGGCAACCCCCCCAGGAGCGGCTGGTCACTGATCTCCCAGCGGGAATTGCAGATCAAAGGGGCTCTAACCCCATACTCTTGTGGACGTGTCAGTTCCACTCCCAGACTGCACTCCATAGAAACCAGACTCCCCCGTTACACATCTGCTACGGGTGGGCCAGATCTTATGAAACGCAGAGGAAATGGTCAAGTGTGACTGTAACGGCTCCCACAGTGCCATCCACAGGTCATCGGGTGCCATTGCAGCACTATTGTAATTAATCTGTGTCTCACTGGAAGTAGAACATGCCGGTCAGCAAAGAGGTTTCGTGCGGCTCGGCACCACTCCTCCAGTGCTCGCTGCATTCACGTTTCCCCGCTGTATTGCATATCGCACATGACAGACAGACAGACACCGCAAGGTGGAGAGACCCGTTTCCAACCCGATTCTGTGGGCACTAGCCGTCCGCCGTGCCTCTGTTCATCTGTCCCTTGCTTTTATTGTTCTTGTTTGGACAGAGGGAAGGTCACTTGTGCCGCCTGTCCTCGGTCCGTGTCACATCCCTCCTCTGTGACGAGTCGGTACAGTAGCAGCAGAAACGCGCCGCTGGCTGGGCTGCACGTGCGCCCCCGTCCGGGACGCGTGTGCGCGCGTGTAATGGGGGCTGTGGGTCCCAAGAATAAACAACGCCGGGCTCGCTTGCACCATTACTTTAGAACAGGGGTTCACGACCCTTTTGATGAGCTCCGACCGGTTTACGTCAAACAAAAATCTAACAAACCGGTAAAACGGTCGCAGGGGGGCACTGAGGGATGAATCGGCGATATCATAAGTTTGACCATTTCACTTTTTTCAGATGCGAACAGAAGGAGGGATTGTGAGGAGCTGTGGACATTTAAAATAGTCGAGATTAAGGAAAAGACACAACTCTGGCGTGTCTTCAGTTTCGTTTATTTTGATCGATAAAGGAGAGAGTTTATCTCAATGGCAAGAATAGCGTTTCTATTTACTTGATTTAGACAACGTTTTATATATATATATATATATCATTGGTTAATCCGTGAATAATTTAATGATCAAATGGACATGCACATTTCTGATTGAACCAGCCTCAGACATCAGTTCACAAGGGTCATAAAACTTCGAAGGAATATATTTTTGTAAATTTACTAACCCCACCGCAAAACCCCCAGCAATTCGTGGATCCATGTAATCCTAGCTACAGACCCCCCCAGGGATGAGAAAGCCACGCCACACTGATTACAGATGCAAAGCGATTTTATTTCGTTCCAAACATTCATTTCCTTGGAAACATTTGAGTATGTTCCAGAAATACATCCAGTGTGCACCAGATCATTGTTTTATGTATTTCTACAGCCAGTTTGTTATACCTCATTAAAAAAAACATGAATAAAAACAAAAGATATACTGTTATTGTGGCTATGGGGGGGCGCAAGATGGGCGCCATGATGCACTGTACTATCAACTAGGTTCATGTGGAATTTTTAGACCGCTAGTCACCAGTTCGGAGGCGTTTTCTGAGTGCAGCAGTCAGACCAACAGCTGGACAACGTGAATCTGTCACCGAACCCGATGTGGGATATGAAAAACTGTCAACCACTATCCCAAGATGCTTCAACGCAGAAGCGTGCCTTCCATGTAGGAAGGCGTACTTCACACTCTAACAAAATAATCTTTCAAAAAGTCAGTCGGCTACGGTCACTGGAAGTTTACACCCAGACCATAGTACGTTGTGGCCTGATTTAAAAATTTTTTAAGACAGACGATTTATCAAAAAAGGAAAATAAATATGACATCTCTGTATGGCAGTAGCAGAAATACCTGCCAGTGTGTACCTCTGATTAAGAATCTGTACCTCTGATTAAGAATCTGTACCTCTGATTAAGAATCTGTACCTTTGTCTACTAAGGGCTATTTATTTATCATCTGATTCCAGGGCCCAGAGCCACACTGGCTGACCAGTGACCCATCTTACACCAGCAAAAGGCTTGTTTATATTACAACACATGCATGGAAAGGCCACCAGCATCCAGACACGGCCAGTGAGGCAAGAAAGGTAAACTGGAGGAGAACAGGAAAACTCAGAAGGAAAGTGTCCCTCGGACAGCCACCCTAGCTGTGGTGTGCGGACAGCTGACATTTTCCAGCTGCGGCTAAAGGAGACGCAAGCTGTCGCTGACAGACAGGACGCCTGACCTCTTACAGCCCCTGTAGCGCGTGTTTCCTGGGATTTACCCCACTTGAAGCTGTTTAAGGTGCAGCTATCATTGTACAGTACTATTTTTACAACCAATGTGACACTGCGCTTTAGCTAAACCTTGGCCTTATCATTATTAGTAGTATTAGTAATAGTAGTAGTTGTAGTGATAGTATTTTCCTTACCATCTTTATCAAGGTCATCTTTTTAATACAAGCGACATGCTTTCGTTCTCTGACTCCCAGCAAACCCAACAGGATAGAATGGAATCCGACGTCACTGATCATTCACTATTCTACAGTCTATGAAAAATGTAAAGAATAATAATAAAAAAAAAAACCTTCACGAGGGTGGGGGCCACATAAATAAAAGGACGAAAGCACAGCGAATCAGGAGGGCTTTAGGATGCATGAGCCCCCCGCCCCCCCCTGGCTCTGGTCCTGGTGGTCAGATGACGTCTGCAGTCCATTCACAGTCTGGCGACTGAAACTCGGGACCCTGCCAAGGGGGTTCTTGAGGTCCAGAGAGTGAGGGAGGTCAAATGGGACCCCGCCCAAGGGCTCCCAGCGGGCGGACGATCGGGCCTGTTGAAGGAGAGGGGATGTACAGCGGACCCCTCCCTCCACTGGATGCTAGCGGCTGTTTTTAGCTGCCTCTTTGGCCGCTAGGATGAGGGGGGTGAGACTGGAGAGGGGTTTAGCCACCCTGAGGAACTGGTGCTGAGGGAGCAGGTTGGGGGGGGGGGCAGAGTGTCAGACACTTAGACAGTCACAGCACGACACACACTACAATCTGCATCTAAGGCACCTGGGGGGGGGGGTTTACCTGGAGCAGCTCCTTGGCAGAGCCCCTCTTCTCCACATCCATCTCCAGACAGCGGTTCAGAAAGTCTCTGAAGATGGTGGAGAGCTTCTCGGGGTTCTGGAGTTCCGGGGTGCCGTTGGTGGCGATGAGGTACAGTGCCTGCAGGGGGCGATGTTCCCGTTAATGAAGGCTAGACGTTTCTTCATTGAATCTGTGCCACATTTGGTGTGTCCTGCGTTCTTACATGTCATTGTAATTACTCTATGCCGACATCTAACGTTTAGCATTCATTTCTCGCTCAGGGTAACTGTCTCCCCACCCCCGCAGGCCCCCCTCACCCTCAGCGGGTTCTCGTTGAGGTACGGCGGCTCTCCTTCGATCATCTCAATGGCCATGATGCCCAGGGACCAGATGTCCACCTTGGGCCCGTACGCCTTCCGGGTCACGACCTCGGGCGCCATCCAGTAGGGCGTGCCCACCATGGTGCTGCGCTTGCTCTGCTCGGGGGTGATCTGGGCGCAGAAGCCGAAATCCGCTGCGGGAGGGAAGGAGCATGGGAACAGGGGGTGTCAGTACCATTCTGTCTCCATATACCACGGTCCTTTGTCACCCCCTGCTGTCAATAATGCAGAATACAACTGCTTTCTACAAGAGGCATCCTGATCAAAAGAAAAGAGCTCATGGGAGTTTTACTTACACAAAAATGTTTTGAGGGCAGAAGGAAAAATGATTGGTTCAGAGAGATAACCAATCAGACTGTAGAGGAGGTTGGTCCAAGCAACTAGAGGAGGCCGGACCAACCAATCAGATGTCTTTGTCCTGCCTCCTCCAGTTTATCAGACCTACCTCCTCAACAATCTGATTGGTTATCTCTCTGAACCAATCATTTTTCCTTCTGCCCTCAGAATACTATTGTGTCAGTAAAACTCCCAAGAGCAAGAAAATAAGTTCGCTTTGTCCACTGGCTCTCTTTCTAGAAGAGGAAACAGGAACTGGACTCACTGAGCTTGACAGAGCCGTCCATGCCCAACAGGATGTTGTCACTCTTGATGTCACGGTGGATCACCTGATTTGAGTGCAGGAACTCCAGGGCTTGTAAGCACTGTGAAGAAAGACAATCTTCCAGAACCATCTGCACAATGCTAAGTTTAAGTTTTCATGGCTGGATTTTGACTAAAACTGTGTGAAAAGCACAACAGCAGGGGAATATTTGGGTGGCTCTTTAACAATTATGCCACCTTCTGGTTATTTAAGGCCTCCTCGCAGGAAGGAGGTATGGGGCGGGGATCTTCTCACCTCTCGGCACACAGCAGCAATCTGGCCCTCGTCCATGCAAGTTTCCGTCACAACGTCCGTCAGCGAGCCTCCTGCGAGATACTCCATCACTACCCATAGCTCCTCGCCCACCAGGTAGCTGTGTGAGCAAGATGGCAGCTATGATGCTGAAATTCACATCACATCATAACAGGACACACTGGACGTGTGACATGGTACCCTGATGGTACCACATTATTAGCTGAGACCTAGGAATGCTGGGACTTGTCATTAACCTCCAGGCCACATGCAGCGCTGTGACAGTGCTGGCGGTCAAACTATTGTTCTCCCTCACCTGTCCAGGTAGTTTACGATGTTGGGGTTTTTGTTTTCCCTCATGACCAGGATCTCGTTGATGATCAGCTCCTTCTTGGGCTGTTGCTGCAGGTTCATCTGCTTGATGGCCACCTAAAATGCCAAGGCAGGCGGCCAATCAAAATCAGCCAGCGTGTGAGTCAATCAAGTCAGCCCTAATCAATGCACTGTTCAAACTCTTTTATTAGTGAACAGGTCCAGTTACTGGCACAGCAGCCCTGACCCAAAGCACTTTATAAGCATTTAATAGATAAGAGAGATCAATTGTGAGCTGTTTCTGTGAGGGAGCCACCATACCATACCATCTTTATTTATAAAGCACTTTAAATCAACCATAGCTGACACAAAGTGCTGTGCATTGGAGCACTGGAGAGAGAAAAGAAAAATAAAAACAAATACAAAGTCAGATAACAAAAGAAAAATCCTGCTGGGGCCAAAAGCCAAAGCATAAAAGTGAGTTTTAAGATGTGTTTTAAAAGTGGACAGTGAGGGGGCTCACTAACGTGCCAGGGCAAGTTATTCCATAATTTGGGTGCAACGATAGAGAAAGCCCTATCTGTCCTTCCAGGAGCAGCTGAGCAGCTGACCTGAGAGACGGAGCGGGAGCGTCGGGGTGGAGGAGCTCAGTGGTAAGGCGGTGCAAGATTGTGGAAAGGTTTAAAAACAAACAGAAGAATTTAGAAATGGACTCTATAATAAAGAGGCAGCCAGTGGAGTGAGGCTTTTACGAGTCTCTGTTAAGAGTCATGCAGCGGCATTTTGAACTGCAGACGCGAGAGTGACGACTGACTGACTCCCACTTAAAGTGAGTTACAGTAATCCAGACGGGATGAAATAAAAGCATGGATCACCGTTTCAAAGTGCTGGCTAGAAAGAAAAGGTTTTACATTGGAGTCACCTTAAGTGGTAAAAACTAGGACTTAACTACGGCTCTGATTTGACTGTCCAACTTAACACCAAGATCAACAATAATCTTGGTGTTAAGCTGGACAGTGTTGGCCAGCTTCCAGAAACTGGCTTTCTGTCCTCCAAAGTTAAAAACATCAGAAAGGCAGTCCCCCCCCCCCCGCATCAGTCGCTCAAGGATATTGATCACATGGGGTAAATGTAGCACTTTTAATCCTAAACACCTCCTCATCAATAATTCATATGCTAACCCAACAGCCTCAGCTTAGTGGGTTAATGCGGTGGTTCCAGGGACTCCATCATAAAGCGAATGTAAAGCATTGGGATTAAAACGGAAACAGACGACGCCAGCAGCCCCGTTAATTAATATGACATCACGCAACCAAAGAGGATGAAGACCTTTCTCCCTCAGTACACCTGTGCATATCCAAATATCAGTGCAGATGCGTTACCCTAACTGCATCCAGCACAGCTCAGTCTGCAAAACACTGGAAGTGAATCTCACTTGGGGTTTTGGCATGATCTGTCTTTCTAACTTGCCTTCCAAGAACAAACTTGGGGTGCAATGAATCATGGGATTAGTCTCGTTTGAAGAGATGCAGCTGCTGCATCCTTAATATTTAGGGCAGAGAAAGAACAACATGCAGGGATTTTCACCGTCTCCTGTTCTTAGCATTGGAACTGGACTTCGGCAATGGAGGATGATGTAAAACACAAGTACAGTCAAGGACGCATATTGAGATTCATCCTGGGATATTAACTGATGAATTTTACATATAGCTGTGATTTAAGCCCCCTAGTGGCCAGATATAGGCCTGCATGACTTAATAAAGACTTAAAATGGTATATAAATAGCAGACATCCCCCCCCCCCGGCAAAAAGGGAAATGACTTTATTTCACACAAGAGAATTTCTACATTGGCCATATGTATAATTTTTTGTTAATTAATTTTTTCTAGTCAGCACACTAAATTTCGAAGGCTCCACTGAACCGATAACTTCGGTCCTCGAGAAGTTAAATAAAAGCCCGCCCGCACTGAAATCTGATTGGCTTATTTTGCCAAGTAGACCAATCAGGATGCTCTCTGTCTAGCACGGGCTACATGAACAGGCACACACGCAGGGATCCATACATACGCACGCTCTCTCTCTCTCTCTCTCATTCCGTCGTGCGCGCGATTTTCTCAAGTGCGCGGTGGACACGTTACTGTCTCGCGCGCATGCTCTTGTGTGCTTGCTCTAGTTTCCGGGACATTTTATTCAATTTGCGGGCATCAGGGAGCCGCTATCAATATGCGGGAGAACTTCCGGGAGACTTGGGATGTCTGAAATAGTGACCAACTAGTCTAATGCAGCTGTAATGAATCTGGATGTTGCTTCCTTGGCTGAAAAGTCCATGAGAAAAAGTACAGGATTGTGATCCCTGACTGAAACCCATCCATCCATCCATTTTCTAAAATGGCTTATCCTGTTCAGGGTTGTGGGGGGTCTGGAGCCTATCCTGGAGGCTACAGGAACAAGGCAGGGAACAACCCAGGATGCACTCACCCACACACACCGGGGGGGGGGGGGGGGGGGGGGACCCACAACGACATGGGGAGAACATGCAAACTCCACACTCAAGGAGCCCTGCCGGAGGCTTGAACCCAGGTTGCAGAGGTGTGAGGCAACAGCGATAACTACTGCACCACTTTCTCTATGAATGAAATTTCTCTTTCTTCACTAAAATGCATGTTTGATGGCTGCAGTCCATTTCAGCGCAGTTCAGTTCTGCTTACCTCCTGTCCCGTAGCGATGTCAGTCGCAGTGTAAACCGTCCCAGAAGCCCTAGGCATAGAAACAGGATTGGAATTAATCATACAGACCGGGGTCTGGAGCCCCTAAATCTGGAAAGCAATAAGGTATGACCCCCCCACTCCCCAACACAACTGAATGTGCCCATATGGGAGGGGAGTTTGTGTGAGGGTGTGACATACCCCTGTCCGATCTTCTCAAACCTCGTGTACTTTTTCTTAGGGTCACCAACGCTGACGATGCCACCTAGTGGGGAGAGAAGGTGTGACAAGGAGGCTGGAGGCAGGGTGGAGGCACTGAGGAAAGGGGAAGGCAGTCAAATCTCCTCAGAGACAAGGAGAGACATTACACACCCAGCCCAGCAGGGGGCACACTACCTACTTCACTTTACTGTGGGACCACTGGCGGGTAAGTGTAGGGGTCAAAGGCCAGATCAGCTGGCGTGCATGAGAGGAGGCAGAAACACAACAGACAAACCAGGAGAGGTTTGCAAATAATCCCCCCGCAAGAGTTTAGAGACAAGTAACTGGGAGATGACACCATATTACTTTTTCAGTGAACAGACATTCCTAGATCAGAGTAAACAGAGCGCCAGCCAGAAGCTAAGAACAAAACAGGAGAAGGTCTTGGGAGAACCTGGACACCTCATTCAGCCACACTTCATATCTTACCAGTAGAGGGCGACCATAGCACATCTGTAGAACGGAGCATTTGATAAATGCACGTTTAAAGTATCTCTGCAAATGGATTTTCGGTGAATATGTTTTTACAGCCGATATTGCAGCAGGTTAGATAAATCAGGATTGAACTGTGAAACTCGTTTTACAATGAAAGGACTCCAATTAGCAGGCAGCAGGGAAAAGCGAATTGTTCTTCGATTTACTTCTCAAAAACTGTCATTTGAAATGTTTAGGCCCAGGAAGTTGGTAATAATCCCATTATTCGTCATTACAACATGATGCCTGGTGGATGCAGTAGCTGTCATTTACAATGAAGTTTCAGTCTGCAGTGCATTGTGGGATAGTGGCAGCACCTGAGAAAGCAAGCTGTCACTGATACCAAAGTGTAAACCCTGACCACAGCCTTAGAGAGGCATCACACACATGAGAGCGAGAGGCAGAGGGAGGCAGACAGACCCCGGTTTCCAAGGAGACCATACAGTCCTGGTGTGTGTGTGGGGGGGGGGGGACTCACGTAGCTTTTCCAGGATCTCCTCGTCGGACATCTTGGTCTTCTTCCGGGTCTTGTCGGCGCTCCGGGGGGGGCTTGTAGAGGGGGCGGGGCCGGCACCCTCTGCTGGGGGGGAGATGGGTGATGTGGCTGCATCCTTGGTGGGCGTCGCCGGGATGGGCTCGATCACAGAGCGCGTGTAAATCTGAGTGGGGAGGGTTGTTGTGAGAGCATGGCAAGCAATGTGGCTGCTGCCCTCCATCACCACGGAGACTGGCATTCACCATGCCCACCTGTCTGTCAGGTTTACTGGGCAGGCCTTGCATGGGGGGGGGGAGTGATGTCTCTGAATGAGTGAGTGTCTGCTTTTCAACTAATTTCTGTGTTTTTTTCCATGCCACATTGCATCCATTCGAGAGGCTGACCCTGTGTCACTGACGTCACTCGGGTGAAGCTTCATTCAAATGCCCAAAAGGTAAAACCTCATCACCCTCTCTATGACCTCAAGGCTGTATCCAGCCACAAACCCACAAACTACTGTTGTGGGCGTGACATATGCACGATCTGGGGTGGCGGCCTGGGTTCTGTGATCACATCTGTCCCACGTTATCCATCCACTCACCGATTTTGTGTGCTCTGGCCTGGGGGCGACAGTGGGTGGGGGTGTGGCCTCATCCTCGTCCTCGTCCTCAGAGAGCGTGCTCACGACAGGCGTCTCTGACACAGCTTTCGAGCCCTGCAGTGTGTATGGGGGCAATATCAGTGTTTACTACCAGTCAAGCCATGCCTTTGTGTGGGGCCCCCTATTGGCTACAAAGAGTCACTATGCTCCAAATACAAGTAAACCTGCCCCTGTAGGGGGGGGGGGGGGGGGGCTGGAGTTAAGGGTGCCCTCCAGCTAGCTGTCCTACCACCTGACCCAGGAAGCGAATTGGAAGGTGCTGATTCACGGTGCCCAGCTCAAGGACTGCCAGGAAGAGTCAGATAGCCCCCCCCCCACACACACACAAACAAACACTGCCGTTGTCAGACCAATCTATCTCCCGTAGTCCCCACCCCACTTGGGCAGCCAGTTGTCTCTGCAGCGCCCTCAGGTGGAGAAGCCCATTCACTACATGCCCCCCCCCCCACTCACCCTTGACAGACAGCAGGGTTGGATGTGCAGGAGGCCAGGCGGGTCACACTCACCAGGGCATTTGAGGAGCAGTAACTCTCCGCTGTTTTATCTGCAGATAAAAACAGTCAAATTAAAGTGGCAGCTTTCAGAGAGGCCTTGGTGGGGGCCCAGCGATTACGGCGCCTTCAGAAAGCCCCCGCGCAATGCTGCCATCACCCACAGGGGGCTCCGGGGGCTCTGGGGGCCACACTCACCTGTGAAGCTCATGTACTTCTGGCTGTTGGAGGTCTCCTTGGAGTCGTAGAACTTGAGGACGTCCAGCACGGCCTGGGGGTTCGTCTTCTGCTCCAGTTTGGTGATGTTGGAGGTCTGGAGGAGTCGAGCCCACTGCTCAGGCATGCCCTATACACACACACACACACACACAGGTCAGTAATAAGTGTGACCCTGCCAGGGTTCCCACAGAGAGCCTGCAAGACCGAGTGAGTGACAGAGCTTGAAGATAATTAAGGTTCATCACTGCGGATATCAGAGTGAGCTGTTTATTGATCCACAGATGGGAGGGCGGAACTTGGGAAGATGGACCAATAACCCGAGGCAGCAGGGAACTCACGGTGAACTCTCCGGTGACGGCATCGAAGCCAACGTGGATGGTGTGTTCAAAGTCGGATGGGAGTGAGATCTCGGGTCGTTCCTTCTTCTTGTTGGCTATGATGAGAGAAGGAGAGAGAGAGGGGGAGGGAGAGAGAGAGAGAGAGGGAATGAGAGGGACATAGAGAGAGAGAGGAGAGAAAGAGAGGGAGAGAGAGAGGAAAAGAGACAGAGGAAAGGAGAGAGAGAGGGAGCGAGTGGGAGACAGAGACAGCGAGAAGAGGGATGGAAAGTGGGATCATAAGGCTGGTTGAGAAGACAAATTCCCAGGGGTTCCTGGAGAACCATCACACATCTGAACACGCTCACACCTGCCCTGGTTATGGGGGTATCTGTAACATTCATCCTTCCCCCCCCATTATAAACAGCTGACGGTAGCATCACGGGTTTCTGCATCTATCAGAGGAAAACAGGCACTCTGTGTGTGTGTGTGTGCGCGTGTGTGCGTGCGCGTGTGCGCGTGCGTGCGTGCGTGTGCGTGCGTGCGCGTGTGTGTATTGTTAAGCTACACAGGCAGCACCTGCATGGAGGTCAGCGGGACACAATCAGGGTACAGAAAGGGGAGCCATATCACTCTGCCAGTATAGCCAATAATAATGATGATGATAATAATAATTTCAGTAATCATAGCAAACTCCAATTACAGGGCTAGTCTCCTTAATCACCATGCCCCCTGCTGGCCTATTTGTGTTACAGCCAGGGACTGTACACCTCCCCAGGCTCCTTTTCTAAAAGTCTCCAGACTCTCACTCTTGTCACTCCCGCCCGTGAGGATGGAGCGGATGGAGCGGTCCTTCTTCTTCTTGTCCTCGGGGTTGGGGGGCAGGGGTTTGGAGCCGTGGTGGGGGGCGCCGGTATCCTTGCTGCAGGCCCCAATCATGGTGCTGGTGTTCCGCATGGGCGGAGCCGGGGGCTTGTCCTCCACCTCCCCATTGTCAGACATCTTCAGCTGCTGAGGCAGACAGCCGGCCAATCAGCAACTAGCTCTGTGGGAGGGGACAGCCAATGAGAAGGTTTTCCACATGAAGTAATGCCGTAGTAATTAACTTGCTTTGCCAGGGGACAGAAAACCCCCAGCTTGCAGGAGACTGCTAACTTGTTGCAGGCAGGTTCTGAATAATGACTAACTGCAGGTTCAACTTTGTAACTTTATCCGCGCTAAATGTTACCATACTTCTGTCACAACGAATGATATCATAAGGCTCCTGGCTTTCACGCCCGCAGAGCTGCGGTGAAGGCAGGATTTGGGGGGGTGTAAGACGAGGCCTGCAGAGCAATCGGCGTCCACTAGGGAAGCCATTGGAGGGACACTACAGCACTACAACAGGAAATCCAGTAAGAATCCAGAGTCTCGCCAGATCCACCTTGCCGGGATCCCTGTTGGTCCCTGAGGTTCGTCTTCAGCGCCCCACCCGCCCAGCTAGGCCTCGCATGAGGGCCTTGTGTAAGGGCTTCCCCACTCTCTCCAACTGGACGGCTCCCAGCGATTGCTCCATCCCCGAAACATCCCCGCGTCACCAGCCAGATGTTCCTGTTGGCCCGGACTGGCGGAGCACCGCGACCCCAGAAAGCGCCCGGTTACCCTGGAGATAAACGGTGAGCAGGAGCCCAGTGGTTCCCCATTAAAGACTGGGAAGGCTGGGAAGCTGCTGGCGTGTAGCTGTGCACGCCTGACAGATGCTCTCATTTACACGCTCACGAACGTCACACATGGACCAGCGGCGTTTCAAAGCCACCGCGCAGCTTTCCTGGAGAAACCACTTCAAGAAAAACAGGCGTTTAACTGGGGCCATCTGGGGAAGTTTCTGTGACATGGAAATACTTTTAAAATATTGTTTATACCCTGGCATGATGCAATGATCATAAGTCATCGGTGGTCTTCAATAATCTTTGGGCAGATACCAAACTCACATGGAGAGAGATAACTGCTAAACAGCCCTGGGGACCCAACTATCAGTGCGGGTAAGGAAGGTTCCAGAATGTGTCAGGTTGACTGTAGGCAATTCAGGAGTGTGTGTGTGTGTGTGTGTGTGTGTGTATGTATGTACATTATGTATAACTTTGCATATATCACATTTGGGAAATAAAATGTCCCCAAAGTGTGGTAAAACTTGAAACTTCCTTACTTTTCAGGTCACCATTTAGATAACCTCAATTTTATAAAAATCTGTGAATGCAATCAAAAAAGTCTTGTATTTTCTTTAGTTACTTATAGTTAAGGTTAGAGCTGGGTAGAGGTTAAGGGTGTCATGATTGGGATTAGGGTTGTTCCCAAAGTAAGGAATGGACCCATTTAGATACCTATGCCAACGTGTGTGTGTGTGTGTGTGTGTGTGTGAGAGAGAGAGAGAGAGAGAGAGAGAGAGAGAGATCCTGGGCCCCCCAGACATGATGTCAGAGGTGACTCATCACCGATAGGCCTGCCAACCCACGGACAGCTCCACCACTGGGCGGAAAGGCGGTCATGTGACCTCCCCATGCCTGTCACACGGACACACTTCCTACTGTACACACAGCTGTTCACACAGCAAAAAAGGGACGAGCTCTTACCGTAACAAACGACATCTTTAATTCCACATCACACCCCCACCCCTCACACACACACACAACACCCCCAATTTCAGACACGGGTGAGAGTTTTGTCACGCCGATGCCGCCCCTCCCCCGGGACACCGACCACTGGGCCTTTTTTCAGCTCAGCCTGTCCACCCGACACTCATGAAGGATTTAAAACTAAAAATAAAAATGCAGACGCTCACCTTGGCAGGCAGAATAATACCCGTGGTGTGATTATGGAGATCGTAATCACGCAGTCGGCCCAAATGAATCGCTCCAAAGTGTGTCTACCCAGCATATCTGCACCTGGGGTTAGGCTTCCATCTTGATGTGTGGGTTTCAGTACAGACAGCAACCCAGGCGCTGCAAGTACCATCCAAACAGTATAGCGGTCAAACAACAGTGTCCTTCCCACTTCTCTCATTGGTCACACTTCCCACCGTCAACAAGCCGGGTGCAAACTCATCTAGGAGCTGATTTTCACAACCAGGGACTAAGTGGCAGTGAGGGAGGCCCCACCCCCTTGACAATTGACAGAGATCACGCTAAATCGAGTCAAAGACATCCTAGGGCATCGGAGGAAGATTCCCACTGAAGTCGAGCTCTCTCCCCCCCCACCCACCCCCAACCCCTGCATCTATCTCACCTGTTTCACAAGTCCGGATGTTTCCAAGGCGACCGCATCCCACCCATGCCTACCCAAACTGTAAACTGCTCTAATTTTAGAAGAAACAGCAGCTGGAACCCACAGAATGATTAGCATAGGGCTAATAAAGGTTCACACCACACCACCCTCAAACAAAGGGACAAAGGGGTGGGGCATGGAGGGGGGGGGGCAGAGCTGACCACGCTGATGTCAGACCGGAGTTTCTGACCAGCTTCTGTACTGCTGTGTCATGGTACCGGGGGGGGGGGGATTAAAGCCACCATTTCCTAATACAGGAGCAGTTAACCCAATGATTCAAACCCTACCCCCTCCCACACAGACAGACACACACACACTCACAATTTACACAGCCTTCCCCTATTTCTGCATCTAACAGGAATTCAGAGGGGGGGGGGGGGCAGGAAATTTGGCCTGAAACCTGCCAATTTCAGCCAAGACACAGATAATGGCACAAAATGGGGGGGGGGGGGCACACACAAACCCAGATGATTAAGATAGGCCTCAGGATTCAGCAGGTGGAAAGGCAGAGTCACTCTCCTTAAAAATACACATAAAAAAGCAGAGTAGCTGGGCTCTTCGGGGGTCTGCAGGTAAAGACTAAGCACTGCTCCACAATCACTGCGTTTACATGCACAGCTAAGTCGTACTACAGTTATAGCTCGACTACGCCATTTAATGGGACTACTGTCCTTGTCCCAGTATACATACATGGGAGGGGAAACGATTTATTGAGCGAAGTCTGACTCCACTGCAGTAGGTGGCGATATGGCTCCTTTCAGCTTGTTAGTATCGGGCTTTTTCCAGTTGACCTATTACGTCATAGACGTAAAAAAATAATTAAAATAATAATCGATGCGCGTGCAAATGAAGTGATGCAAGGTTTAATTGCAATCTGGTCGGAAGAACAGATACAACAAGATCAGGACAGCATAAATAATTTTGTATAATATACTATGACAGCAAGCTCTTGGAAATTTTTCAAATATTATCATAAAAATTGCAAAACTTGCTAGGTTTTTTTCCTATGACAAAGTAAAAATGTTTTAGCGAGACCTAAACTCAATGCGCTACAATATCCATACCAAATTGAAGGTAATAAAAAGTCTGATCTTAATTTGGCTGATTAGCGATGTAAGAATTTGATGTGCTTATGCAATGTTTGTATTAATATCGCACGTCTGCTGTGCTCCAAAGTACCCATAGATATAAACATCTATGCAACATCTATTTATATCTATGCAAAGTACCGGCCTGTTCTGTTACTTCCGGGTCAAACGTCAGGGAGTGGGGGACTGTTGAGCATGCGCAGAGCGTCTACACTAGCTTGAGTGCGATTGAACGTACGCATGAAGGAGTAAATCGACTCCCAGTCGCGTTGTCTGGGTGTCTTAGTCCAACTACGAACAATTCCATTTAGTACGATTTCAGTCGGACTAACGTGTTTACATGCAGTTTAAAATTTCGGTTTTAGTCGGACTAAAAATAATTCGATTATCTTAGTGTGCATGTAATTGTACTGTCTGACAGAGGTGTGAGAATAAAGCCATAGAACAGGGTATGACTCAGGGCTCCTGTCAGTCACACTGTGCTTGTGTATATATTTGTGTATGTATAGGAGCTGGAGGAACCATATTATTTAACCTGGGATGCACTCGGTGAAACACTGTGGTGACATGACCCCTCTCTGTCCTGATGGCCCGCTGTGTGCTGGTCCGCTTTCCAGAACCTCTTTTACTGCTGGCTCATGGCACCGAACCTCCTGCAGCTTCTGCCTGTTCTGGGATCAGTCTGCAAACGCACATTCGGCGACAAGGTGTGCGGCGAGAGGGGAGGACCATGCCAGGATGGATGAATGGACAGACAGACCAACGGCATCATATACAGACTCACAGACACACGCACAGACAAGCAGACACACACGCCTAGGCACACAGTCACATGCACACACACAGAGACACACCCACGCACATAGACACAGAAACACATGCACACAGATATGTGTGAGGAGCAAGAGGGTCTGGCCAGAGTCCCACACCGCAGGGGCAGGGAACTGGGCGTCTAACCAAAGCGTGGCTGCTTCAGGTCCACGAGGGGGGGGTGGGAGGGTGTACATTACCCTTTAATAAAGCAGACTGGCTTCAGGAAGAGGGATATTAGAGATATAGAGATGCAAGTCATTCTTGAATTTAGAAAAATCTAATATTTAAAGACAGATGTTTGCCGAAGGTCCCGACACAGAGCGATGACAGGGGGGCGCTGTGCGGCTGCTGTGTCTGATCAGATGGTCGCTGGTTCAGATCCCTGGGTCAGAGTGACATCACCACTAGGCCCTTGAGCAAGAACCTTAACGCCAAATTGCTTCAATGACCGGCTTGGCTTAATTGTCTGTCACTTTGGATAAAAGCATTTGTTAAACAAATAAATGTGTTACCAGTTGGGGGTAGGGGGGCACAAGTGAACGCCAAAGGTCTATTCCACCCTCCCTCCCCAAGAACAGCTGTGTACTCATGTAGTAAAAAAGCAGCCCCACCCAACCCAAACAAAAGATTACTAGCCCGTTCCCTCCATGACTGTGGGGAGGGGGGGTAATACTGTTATCATTCTTATGGATTTCTGGATTTATGATTTCACATGTGTATGCAGTGGTATCGGGGGGGGGGTTAACAGCCATCTGCCTCAGCGGGGGTGGGGGGGGGGTGTGTCACCTGATCAAGCGGATCTTCTGGGGAAGCATAACAAAGGTTAACAGCATGGGGGGGAGAT